GGTGTTGGTTCAACGGTTGGACTCAAAGATCTTAGAGGTCTTTTCCAACCTTAATGATTCTATGATTCTATGAAGACACACACGGGAAGGGAGCCAGCCCTGGGCGCGCCCTGGCCAGGGAGCAGAGATAAGCAACCATCCTGTAGCAGAGACCTAATGCTCCTGACATTCCCGGTGGTTGCTCCTCACCAGCTGCCACTGACACACCAAGTACTCGGTGAGGAGCGTAGCTGAGGGCTGGAGTTGCACCAGACCAGGGCATGACCCAGGGACTGCTGCCAGCTGGTGGAGAGGAGAACCTGGGAGTCATCTCAAGGAGCCCATGGCAGCCCCCCAGCCCCACTGCTCCCAGCCAGCAGTTGGCACAAGCTGTCCAAGAGCCTCTGGCAGATCACATGAAGGAAGGATGGCTGGGCTTACTCATGGACAGCTCAGCCAGCGGGTGCCTCCTGTGGTGCAGACCAAGGTCTCACTGCAAGTTCCTGTGTCTGGCACAGCCGTGACACGTGTCAGAACTTGGGATCAAGCTCAGGAACCCACAGGATGAAGGTAGCTCTGCATGGCTGGAAAACAGCATGCCTGTTAGACATCCAGCTGTTTCTCCTCAGCCACACCAAGCAAGGGCTTCACTCCCATGACAGGTGATTACACTGCACGGATGAAAGGCAGGGTGACAGTCAGTTTTAGGGATCCAAGTGCAGACTGCTGACACAGCCAGAGTCCTGGGATCTCTTCAGTGGCTCAGCAAGACTCAGGAGAAAGCAAATTAATCTGTCACGCTCCCATTCCTCTCCTCCACAAATTGGTGTTGGTATGAAGGAGGCAGCGCCAAAGACAACCCTACTGTCATCCAAGAAAAGGTACTACAAACACTGTCCTGCCTATACCCTGCAATGATGATACTGCCCCTGATTTCTCTATGCCAGTCCAACACACCATCCCAGAGCATTTACTGTCAAAGCCAGTTCAACTAAAGCAGCATGGATTAGCCAGTTTTTGCAGTTCATTACAGATTGTATTTACCAGGAAGGTTAGAGTCCACCCAGGGAGCAGGAGGGGATGCACTTCCAGGGATGGGTTCCCAGTCATGGGCCACCAGACAACTTGCTGGCACAGCAAGAGGCACCTAGCCTGGTGCAAAACCTAGGAGCAAAACTCCCAGGTGCAAAACTCCCTGGGCGCAAAACTCCTGCAAACCTGGGAGCTCCACTGGGCTCACCTGTCTGCCCCCATCCACCATCCCTGGCAGCTGCAGAGGCAGCCAGCTCCACCCTGCCAGCACCTGCAGCACAGGCATGTGCCTCGGTGCTGGAGCTGGCAGGGGTTATGCTGGCAAAAGCCATCACACATGCTTAGCTCTAGGAAAAAAAGGAAGCCATGGGGCCAACATGGCTCATAGCTTCAACCAGAGCGTAAGCACAAGTCCTCTCTACCCGGCGTTAAGTCATAGTTTTCATACGCGAAGGGGATGGGGGGACTTGCTTGCACACAGTCTGTAAGGAAAACCTCCCAGGGCAGACAAACCAGAAAGTGGAAGGAAGGAGGAGGGAGTCTACGTACTTGCATTAGGGACTTCCTTGGGTTAGACAAAGGGTCGGGGACAGGTCCGTGTGACTCACCATATTTTTCTGAGACGTGCCACTGGACTGATGCAACCCCTGCTCCAGCAGAGACAAAGCACGATGGGCTATTGCTGGTACTGGGGAGAAATGTGGGAGTTGCAAGAGCTGCTATAAAAAAAAAATCCCTTTGCAACCTGCCAACCAAAGACACTACCCATGAGCTGCTGGCAAAGGAGAATCCCCTTCAACCCACCACTTTGGGTGCTTTGTGTGTAGCAGAAAATATCTGCTGGTACCACCAGATGGACAGGATACCCAGGCTTCTGCTTTCAGACACGGTTCCATGAACAGCCTTCAAGGGCAAAATCACCAACAAGAAAGAAAACAGCTGCGAAAAGTAGCCCCAAATTTTTCCAGTCCTGAGTTTGCAGTGCATTTGCTGCTTACTCACTTCTTGCTAAGTCTAGAGCTGCCAGGTCAGGCCCCCTCCCTCCCCTCCCGCACAACTACTCCTTACAGCTTGGAAGCTATTTTTTCCCACCCTGCTATCTAAAAAAAAAAAATTGGCATGAAAGCTTTTATCATCCGGAAAACATGCCAACTGCGAAGGCGACTCTGCATCTCAAGATGCCTGTTTCCTGGCAGATTTTAAGTCCTTTGCTCAACTGCTAGCATGGCGGGGGCAGGAGATGCCTGCAGCAGCAGGCTGTGAACTGTAGTTTCAAACAGTCACATGTTTAACTGCTGCTAAATACCCAGGAGACCAACATTTTCAAACAGCGGGCTAAGAGCTAGACACACAGCCAAGTGATGGTGTTGGCCCATCCGAGGTAAAGAAAAGGTGTGAATGTGCTGCACGGTGATGCTGTGCATGGAGATGAAGGGCCACCAGCGTGGGTACAGCTACCAGGCAGTACTGAGTGGGGCACCCAGCTCAACACCTCCACCTGGTCAGTCACCCCTTCGCTTCCCGGATAATGAGGGTTCAGCTCTACTGGCTCCCAGCAGTTTGAAGGGAAAGGATGGGACCCAACAACCAGGCTGAGCAGGGGAGAAGTGCTGGATGACTGTTCTGTTGGTGTCCAAATTTCCAGTGACCGACTCTGGCCATAACCACCACAGCTGGCAACCTAAAGGTGCTGGGAAGACCACATGCAGGTTGAGACACCAGGACGGCTCCTGTCTTGATGCCACCCTGGAAGAGCTACACAAACCACAGAGCCCTTTGCCCTGGTGATGCTTTTTGGGCCTCCAAAGTGCTCAAAGCTGGTTTTGCACACAGAAATCCCTTTTCCACTCCAGCCCCAAACTGCAGGGCCTCTTAGAAAAAATTGCACAGGATGAGAAAAGGACGCAGTCGTCAGGCTTTACTCTTTTAGAGAGAGAAGGTGATCTCTTGCCCCATGACCCCCAGCAACATCTACCCTAGTACCTACCTATAACTAGCCCTTCTGCCAGCTGGGGATTTTCCCTAACATTGCAGTTCAGGCCATCCAAGCATTGATTCAACTCGAAGTTACTTGGAACTGCCTGTGAAAAGAAAACTAAGTAGTCTGTGAAGACAGGAATTGATAACCTTTCAGATTTGTTTTCACCCTAGGGAGAAGTTACTAAGAAGAAACTGGTCTGGAACAGAGGTGCGTGGGACAATTCAACTAACTCTCCAGAGGCTTTAAAGGATGGTCTCACTCTCTGCAAAATAGATGGTGCCCAGGAAATTGGTGCTTGCCAAATGAAATCACCACTCCCGCTGGATCTCTGCAAAGCACAGTCATGATGCACCACATGCATCTCCGAGGGGAGGGATATGATCCCACCCATAGAGCACAACCCAGGATGGCATTTTATAAACTTGCCTGTGGCTTCTCTCCAGCTATCGCACCTATTTGTGATGGTGCAGAGCAATGCATCACTGCTGCTGTGAAGGGAAGCATGAGGGCACAGCTCGGCTACTGCATGACCCAGCCGTACAAGAGGCCAGGGCTCTCCTCGTGTGTTGTGTACTATCTAAAAACCACAAGACAAAAAGAAAGCTACAAAGCTCCTGCAAAGTACAGAAGAGAAGCAATGGAAGTCCTCCAACATGCCATGCAAGCTGCCTTCTGTCCCTCCTGCCCTCCAGATACACTTCTCCATCCCCCTGAGTGCCCTGTTCACTAACAAGAGAAGCAACCTTCATCCTCCTTTGTACTTGGATGTCTTCAGCTTCTTCATCTCTTGCCTTCCCTCCACTTAAGCACAAGGATGGCGCCTTTCTCAGGAGGCAGCTAGCTACGAGGTGGAGTAAAGGGGTAAACAGTAGGCTTACAGAGAAAACCACCCCAAAAACCTTAGCTTGGTCCAAGTCTTAGTCACATCTTGGGCTGTTGGGAGCCATAAGCAGCAAGAGCAGCTGCAGGCCACGGGCAGGAGGTGCCGTTAGTGCACAGCCCCGTCCAAGGCTCAGCTCTCCAATGCAGTGCCCAGCCTGCATAACATGAGCAGGGGAAGCATGGCTGCAGCTGGGACTGGTGTTCAGAGCTCAAAATCTAACATGGCCTAAAACACAATCAGATACTGGTAAGAGAGCAAGCAGGAACCAACCAGGAGGTGGGGAGATATTTCGAGTTGTTTGACCCCACCACAGCCCTCTGCTTTCCAGAGCCTTGGTCCCGCAGAGCATTACAGCATGCCGACGAGCAGGACAGCAGTGTTCACCTGCCAGCACTGACACAGGAGCCCTCAGGGGAGAGGAGAGCCCTGCCAGTCCTCTGCCAGCCTGAGAGCAACAGGGTGGAGGATGGGACACAGCCAGCATCTCTCTGCAGCCTCTGCCAGCAGGACTCTCCTGCCAGGCCTTGGGGGAGGAGGGGTGGCATGGTGACATTCCTCTAACAACAAGCAGCATCAGCAACAGCATCTGCATTGCCAGGGGTGAGGCAGGCATTAGAAAAACTGCTTTTGTTCAACAGTGCCAGCCTAGAGGGAGAAAAAAAGCATTACTAGTGATGCAAGAGACAGGTATGATCAAGGTGCCTGCCACTCCCATTACAGCTGGTTTTAGGCACTAACTTGGGTAAGTCAGCTGCAGCTTCCATGTTCTGTCTAGGCATCAGAGTGAATTTCTTTCTTAAAAGTTTCAGATGCTCCTCAGAGTTGACCTGACATAGGCAGGCTGCTTTTCCAAGGTTAAGAAGCATCAGAAAACTTTTTGTACGGTTCAAAAGACAGCACTGACATTTTGGGGTGTCAAATTGGGATCATCTCAAATACGGAACAGCCCTGCCTTTAGTTGTCCCCACGAAAATTCACTGGAGTTTTGTGAAAATTGGTGTTTGGTAGAAGGAAAGGCCTCCCCCTGCTGCAGCACTTCCCAAACCCAAACATGTAAATGACCAGCTGAAGTTCACAGCCTGCAGCCAGGACACATTTTGGGATGCTTCCTATAGGGCAGGCCAAGCAGGGAACACGACACAGGTCAAAAGGGATCAGCATCACACACGGAAAGCACACACTTCCAGGGTAGGAGGAAGGCAAGTCCAAGTTAGGCATGATCTGCAATTTCACAGGGCTTCTGTTGCATGCTGCAGCAGCAGTCTAGTGGTTCACTGTACACATGGAAAAACCCCATTCTTTTAAGTCATTTTTCCAGTGATGGGAATAAGCTCGTATTTCAATTCATATTTACCAAAACAAGAACCAGACAAACTAAGTACTGTGTGAAAGTGTGTTTATTCCAAAGCTAAATTTCTCACATAAAACAATGTCTCTGAACAGCAGCATCGGTCCTTACACAGTTCTACAACAGCCTTCTGGGCTCCAGGGCTTGGGGTCTTGAACCATCTCAACATAGCAACAGGGAACCTCTTTTCAGAGTTGTCAGAAAGGGGAGGGAAACGACAGAAAACAGATACATTGCCACTGGCACAATTTAAGAAATTGTGCCTGCTCACAAGAAGAGAAAAGGTGTCAAGACACTTCACAGGGAGCTTAATGTCTGCACAAAGATCTCGCAGAACACCCTGCTCTCTGCAGGCTGCTTGCCAAGGAGCAGCTGCCACTGTCAGGAGAGAACGGCATTATTCCTGCAGACAGAAAACAGGACTGTTGGATTTAATAATCTGCTGAACTGCTTCCAAGGACTAAAGTAGCTGAGAGGTCATGTTAGTGATGTGTTCCTTTGCAGCCTGAAGCCCTCACACCAGCTCCAGTGCGCACATTTGGTCCCAGATGACACCCTAGAGGGGTTTACCTTCTTCCTCCTGCCTCAGCCTCTTGGAGAGATGCTCGCTGATGGCCATGAGGGGGTTGGCTCTGTACCTGGGATTGGTGATGACCTCATGAAACCGAGCCACTTCCTCCTCTCTGAGGAAAGAAAAATAACACACAAATGCTAAGTGCCTCATGCAAAAGGAACTGAGCAGATAAGAACAGAACTCATAAAGCAGTGGGTTTCTGTACAGACAGAATGATCTTGGGTGTAAACCTCAGAAACAGTGCAAGAAATAAACCTAATTTATCCAAGGGCAAAGCTCAAATTGCTGCCAACTTCATGGGAGCCAGAGACTTGATCTCATGCCACAGAGACAGAAACAATCACATTAGTGTCCAGCATCACTTGGAAATGTTTTTTTTTAGAGCTTTTCCCTAGTAAATCAGGAACAAGAGACTGTGAGTATCTAGCAAATCACTAAGAATGAAAACTACTTCACAGTGCACTAGGACAAAAGCAGATTCTGCTTTCGAGAACTCATCTCCTGACCCTCTTTATTGCTCAACATAGAGGCTTGGTAATCCTATGTGCAACACTAGTTAAACACCATGGGAGGAGCATGACAGAATTACCTTTGCATGCTTGGTCACAGCTGGTTGCTGTGGAAATGGTCTTGTCTTAAAAAGCAAGAAAGCAGTGATGAAGAAGAACAGAGCAGGAGGAGTGTGAAAAAAAAAAGTGAGCTTTCACATAAGTCACATCCATTGCGACCTCCCCATCTCCCTCAGACTGCTAAGCTCTCCACAGCCCAGCCAGACACACATCTCCATGTTCTCAGTAGTTGCTGTGGGTCAGCAGAGTGCTATTCAGCCTGCAGCATGCAGCTAGTTCTCTCCCTAGTAGGGCCCTTCCATTCAACGCCAGCTCTGCCCCAGCCAGAGGAACAGAGAGAGAAGCCAAACCTGAAGCTTGGGTTGTGGCAGTTGGGGCAATGGGGTGAGACTTAGGGAACCTCCAGTACTAACTAACGTCCTGGAAAACAAACCTCAAAGACCTTCCTCCAAAGTTTTTCCCTGCCAAGAAGCACAGACTTCCCAGACCACTACGGTAGGATACATGCCACTACTCAGTGCATCTGTCCAGTTTTGTGCAGAGGAGAAGAGGGGGGCACACAGGGGATCAACAGCTTGCTGATACAGAAGATCGTGGTGGAGTTGCCTATTTGGATTCAGATCTGTATACAAGTCCCTCCTCACGCAGTGTTCCTCACCCATGAGTTCCAGCACAATGAGACACTCACTGGTGGTACTCGAGGCCATGACCCTTGGGCTTCTGCAATGAGCCAAGGAGGGACTCATCCAGAAAGGCAGAACTGAGCAAGAAAGGCATCCCAGCACTGACACTGGCCAGTTTCAGACAGAGAAGGGTATTCACAGAGTGTGCTGGAGAGCAGTGGTGAGATCTGTAGGCTGTTCTCCTCAGCTTGAGTTTGAAGTTGAATGGCTCAGAACTGACAGAAATCCTGGAAACAGGCATCACAGGAAGTAAACACTGCCAGATCACAGTGCCTAGCCCCAGGAGAGCTGTGCTGAGGGGAAATTAAGTTCTTGATGCCTGGTGGCAGTATAAAATATCCAACAGATTATACAGAGGAATAAGGAGTTGCCAGACCCTTAACCAAGTCCAGGAATTATTCAAAAGCATTTAGTGCTTCATTTTACAAGAAAAGGTTTGGCAGATGCCAATGGACAGCTGTCCTCGTAAGGGATGTACGGCATATAAGTTAGCATCCCAGAGGTGTTCCAACAGAACAGCTGTAGCTCCTGATGCTATGCAGAGTTCCAGGAGCTCCTCACCTACACAACCACAGGAGGCTTTCCTGAAGGGTATCAGCTAGAGCTACGTGGGCCTGGTGTCATAAAAGACTGAGCCACAGCTGGATGTTGCTCCAACTCAGCAAGCCGAGACAAAGGACGCACCACCTGGTTGATAACCACATTGTCCATGCTGCACAGAGAGACACAGTAAAGACATACTCACTTGGTACAGCCAGAAGTGACAACTGTGGCCAGGAGGAACAAGATGACAGTTGATGTGGGTTTGTCCTGAAACAGGAGGCCCAAGCCATCACTTTGTTTTCAATGAGACAGGGAAAGTGAACTCTTAAAGGAGCAAGTGCAGTTTCCTGTGCTCTCTTTGCTTAGATGTTACACGAGACAGAAGCGGAAGCAGACTGAATCCATTTAGAATTGACCAAGTCTGGTAGGGACAAAGACAGGACACCCACAAACATCCTGCGCTATGTAAAGAGGAAAATCAAAGCTGCGACCTCTTCTAGGGCCTTCAGGTGAGCAAGACTGAAACACTGGAACTGGTTGCCTACAGAGGTTGTGAGATGTCCATCCTTGGAGATATTCAAAAGCTGTGTGGACATGGTCCTGGGCAACCAGCTCTAGGTGACCCTGCTTGAGCAGGGGGGGTTGGACCAGCTGACCTCCAGAGGTCCCTTCCAGTCTCAACCATTCTGTAACACTCAGCAGGGACTGGACACACTGATAACTGGGTACTTACAAGAGCTGGCGTTTCGGCTGCCCTCGAGGTCCCTTCCAGTCTCAACCATTCTGTAACACTCAGCAGGGACTGGACACACTGATAACTGGGTACTTACAAGAGCTGGCGTTTCTGAGCTTGTTTCATCAGACAGAAGTCTGCTGGCTCTGCCTTTGCTTTTACATGGCTGGGGAGAGAAGAAACAAAAGAAGTGAGAGAGTGTTATAGAGGAGCGGTAATTTAGCAATTGCTGTGGAGATGGAAAGAGTCCAGGGATTCTGCATCTGCCTTCCCAGAAAGTATGGGTAGTTGTCCTGTATGGAAATTGTCCTGAAAGGCAATTATTTCCATAGCCAGACAGTAATGGAGATGCAAACTCCTTCTGCCACACACTGACAACAGCTCAGGAGTCAGGATTAAATGGGCAGGAGGTAAACGCACTAAAGAAAAGTCAGATCACTTAATTCTAGAACTGGTCATGAGCTGTCCATGCCCAGATCACTTTCTGCTTATTGCTAACCTCCAGGTCAAACCGATACTGTTGCTTAGAGAAAAGATCTCATCGAACTTCCCCTCACCACCAGGTACACATCACCTCTGCACATCTCATGTTCCTTGCTAATGCTGCCGAGCTCCAGCATCGGCAGACATCAGTTATAGACAGTGCCACAGTTACTCAGCAAGAAGAGGGAAGTGCCAGCCCTGCTTCAAGTCCTGTGATGGGACCACTGGGGTGTAAGGTGTCATTTATATTTTAAGATAAAGAATGGCAATACTCCTTTCTCCCTGTGAACACATCCTCGTCAAAGGCTTGCCAGTTTAAGTCAGCTGCAAACAGATTAGCTAAAGAGAAAGCACAACAACAGAGCTTCAGCTTTTGCCACCAAACATAGGTTTTGAGAACCCATGAAGTTGCAAGAAGATGGACCCATGGGAATGCAGGATGGTGCACTATGTGCAGCTGAGGCACAGCAGCAAGCACAGATCTGCACTCTTTGCACCCATTTCTTATTCCTGGGCAAAGTCCAAGGAGACCAGAGGTGTAATACCATCCTGCACAGGATGCTGGAAGCACATGGTACCCGATGCCAAGCAGCGGCAGAGATTTACCACAAAGCCAAGCACTGAGCCCAAGCAAGGGAACACGCAGGAAGGGCAGCAACTGCTTTTGGGACTTGAAGTGCACAAGGGGAGTTGCTGGTAGAACTGGACATTAAGGAAAGGAGAAGAAAATTCCATTCTTCAGGGTTACACAGATACAGAGGTAAACAGGAGAAGCAAGCGGGGAAGAGAGTCTGCCTCCACAGAGCAGCTCCCCTCCGATTCACCCTGGGGCTGAGCCCCAGCACACAGCCCAAGGCGGGAAGAGGGTCTGCCTCCCACCCCTCTGTTGGGGCAGGGCTCAAGGAGGAATCTCACCTTACTGGTGGGTGCTGGGGGCCAGGACCTCCCCCACCTGATCTGCCCCAGAGCCCTTCAGCTTTCTCAAGGTTAGGAAACATGACAGTCCCTCATTTTCTCTTCAAGATAGCAGGATCTGGTCTCTTGTTGGCAGTGTTACAGTGACCTCCTCTTCCTATTTCCCTCTCTGACCCACTACCCTCCATCCTTTTATTCTGCATTTTTTTCCTCGTTCTTCCTTTCCTCCTCCTCCCTCGCCCCATATTCCTTCACCCCACTCACTTTCATCATCCCTCTCTACTCGATCACCTCTTGCTCCTTTTCCTCATCTCTCCTTCTCTCCATCCTGGCCCATTTTATTTTTCCTCAAGGGGGATCCTGGTGGACCCAAGCTGCTGAGGGCTGCTCTCACCACTGCCCCAATCACATTTGATTTACCCTCAGCCCAGCACAGTGTGCCCCAGCATCAAAGCTCCCTGCCAACCCAGACAAACCCAAACAGTGTGGATGTATATCAGCCAGCCTTTGCAGCACAGAGCCTGTGCAGGAAAGAGTAGCCAGGCAGATCAATGCCTGCGCACTGCTCCTGTACCCTTCAGTCCCTCTCGAGGTCACCCCGGCACTGCTGGTGTTACAAAACAGGCCTGAGAGCTCACGAGGAACGGCAATCAGCAAGAGCAGACAAACAGCTACAGGGGTTCGAGCAGCTCCTGTCACACTGCTGTGTCCACTGGTACTGCGAGACACAGAAAGAGCAGGAAGCATCTCTGCTCTCTTCATGTCCGTTAACTGCTCAGCACAGGAACAATTTCTTGTCCCAGTTTGCCTGGATTGCTCACAGAAGCACAGAGAAATCCCTTCTCAAGTTGGATGGCAACCCAGGTCATCAGAGCAGGGGCTTGACAAGTGTGCCACCAAGTCGCCATGGCAGTCCCTTCAAAGATGAGTAGCTCTGCAGAGGGTTACAATGCTTAAAGGAAAGCCTTTCTAGAGTGCATCCCGGGCCATACAAGACCACGTGCCCCAGAGGCTGTGCCTGGTGGGACAGCTTCCTCTGCAGCACACCACAAGGGTGCGGGTCTGCTTCAGGCTGTGCAAGCCCACTTTTCCTTTCAGCCACCCCACTATTTTAAAGGGCTCGATGCTTCTGAAGGCTTTTCAGTTCCACTCAACAGCTCTGCCCCACTGGTTTGGCAGGTTTGAAGGGCTGCTGCCCGAATTTCCCCCACCAAACCACCAGCACACTGCCTGCTCACTTGGACCGTATTAGTAACCCTGTTTCATTACACTTCATTGCCTTCATTCATTATAAAACAGAAAAACCTCACTGTAATGCTCTCTTACCCAGCAGGAGATCAAATTCCTGGAGAATCTAATCTTTTATTAATAATGCTGACAAATCACCAGAGTATTACCCTTCATTTATGTAATGATTCAAATCCTACAAAAGCTGCCTCTGATATTTCAAACACTTATGCACACACATCCTCATGCAGTCCAGGAAGCCACAAGCCAGCAAGGGGAAGAAGAGCACTGTAGCTCCTCCATGCCAGTACCAAGGGGGACTGCTTTTTGGTTGGCATGTCACAGGCAATCTGGGTGACATCAGTCAATGCCAAGCTCCCACCTCCGCTGTGCCGACTGCAGATGGTGCTGGCCAATCCCGAAATTCTCAGCCAGGGCTGGGCTTCTCTACCCTGCTGTGCCGCAGGTCCACTGGGCTTTCTAGACACCAGAGCCTTGCAGCCAAAGTGAAAACAGAGCCAGAGTATGAGCACAGGCTTCCAAAAGGAGAGAAGGGCTGCCACACTCCCACAGCAGGTCTGGGTTTGGAGAGAGAAGGAGCTGACGGCACTTCTCTGAGGATGTCAGACTGGAGATTCATGCAAGACCACCGAATGCTTCCACATGTGTCACACATCCTCTGCCATGAAGCATACTACAGAAGAGAAGAGCGATTGCAGTAGCTGGAAGGACCATTTTGGCCAGTGTTTTGCCTTGAAGCTGCCTGCAGCAGACGGCCAGAGAGGGATAAGACCAAGGCAAGCATATAGCCACATCCTCTCCAGTATTTGCAGCTCAGAGACCTTGTGCCAGCTGCAGTTTATATACATGCAGTAACCCTCCATGGAGCTCTCCTCATTGGATTTGTCAGGTCTCACCTGAACCCACAGGCTTCCCTCAGCCACAACATCCTGCAGCAAGGAGCTGTGCAGAGCAGTGAGCCTCCTGCTTGCACTGAACTGGCTACTCGCTAGCTATGTTTGATGTCCTTTACTTCTCATACTGGAAAAGAAGATGAACTACTTCCTAACCACATCACACTTGATTTTATAGACTATTACATTCCCAAGCCTCTTCGCCTCCATCTGCGGTCCAGGCTGAGGACTCCCTGGCTCACTTAGTCACCCCTTGCGCAGAAGCTGTGCCAGATCCTCCACCGTCATCCTTGTCAGCTGTCCCTGAGCCTTTTCCAGTTCTACTCTATCTTTTGAGCTGGTCCAGAATTGCAGGCTGCAGCAACACCGTGTATTGGTACTAGATTATGCAGCACCTGGGAAAGCAATCCCCAAAGGAAGCACCCTACCTGTCCTCCCTCCCCTATACGTACTTTCTGCAAGCCACTCTCCTGGATAACACGGGCTGTCACCAAGGGGGCTGGGGAAAAATGATGAGGGGGAATGACCCCTGAACAGAACCTGGAGTCAGATGCCACATGTGGTTGTGGCACATCATCAGAGAAAGAGGGCAAAGCCACCTATTCAGGCTAAGCCCTGGCCCAGAACTCCATCCAATCAACCCTCAGTGCTCTGCAAGACTCGAAACTCTGCATGTTCTTTTGCTGTTCATTCCCATTGAAAGAATGAACTGCCCAGGCTGACTGAATGGCTGCATAAAGAAAAAAAAAAAAAGAAAAAAAATGCTATTCAAAGAATTAGAAGCCAAGTTAAGGAAGAAAATATTTTCCCGTGCTTAGATGCAAGGTTCATAGCTGCTGTTTGTCTGAGGAGTGGCTTTCCAGAAGCACAGGGAACTGCCAACTCAGCCAAGCTCTGTAGGTGCGTGTCCCACCTGGGTCAGAGTTTATTTCTGGGGCATCCAGCAAGTCACAAGAGGGTTCATGGTATCTCCAGCCTTGATCTGCAACCAACGAAGAGGGTGCTTTGCCAGACAGCCGCCTTCTTGGCTGTTCTCTAATCCAAATGCTTTCTTATTATGGTCAAAACAAGTTCAAAGAATTAGAAGCCAAGTTAAGGAAGAAAATATTTTCCCGTGCTTAGATGCAAGGTTCATAGCTGCTGTTTGTCTGAGGAGTGGCTTTCCAGAAGCACAGGGAACTGCCAACTCAGCCAAGCTCTGTAGGTGCGTGTCCCACCTGGGTCAGAGTTTATTTCTGGGGCATCCAGCAAGTCACAAGAGGGTTCATGGTATCTCCAGCCTTGATCTGCAACCAACGAAGAGGGTGCTTTGCCAGACAGCCGCCTTCTTGGCTGTTCTCTAATCCAAATGCTTTCTTATTATGGTCAAAACAAGTTTCTAGTTCCAACCCCTACCGAGCAACTGGAGAGGAGGGACAAGCGTTTGTGCAGCACGCAGAGCACTTTTATTCTGCACTGGGGGATGCGAAAGCAGCTGCAACACTGACCGGATGGTCAGGCAGAGCACTGCATTAAAAAGGAGAAAACGTAAGGGCAACCAGAACCCACCCTATGGCTGGCTGGGACGGCTGACATGTGGGTGTCAGAGGATCAGAAATAGCCCTTCTCTTTCAGTACAATAAAGGGAATGGAAACACCATCTTTCTGTTCTTGTCCAGTCACATTGCAAGCCAACGGGGTGAACAAAGAGTCTGGCCAGAGCGTAAAGCTCTGCTCAAAGGGCTTGAACTGCCTCAGGAGAAAGCCTGGAGGTCTGGAAGGACAGAATGGCAGGACGCAACACCTCAAGTCGATTCTCAGGTGAGCTCAGCAGCATTACACTCTAGAGACTTGTGTGTCACTCCTGCAACTCCCAGGGCATGTGGTTGCTCCCAGCTTGTCTCATGCCAAGCCTCATCTGAGCAGTACAGTTCCCCTCTTAGCTGTGGATTCAGAAGACACATTTAAGCTTTTTTCTTGCAGCGAGTGAAGCATGGAAAGGCGTGAAATGGAGTTGAGAATGAGGCCCTGTTCTGCTGACTATTGGCACTGAGCTTGCATTGTCTGTAACTACAAGCTGAGCTGAAGGGCACTCCATCCTGCAGGAAGAAGGGAAATACACAGCCCACCCCTAAATGGCACATACCTCTTGGATGGCTTCCTGCCCCTGCCACCTGTGGTCAGGTCGGAGAGCTCAGGTAGGGCTTCCATCAACAGCTGCATGTCTCCCACCACAGGTGTTGCTTTCCGCTTTGCTTCAGCTTTTTGCTTCTGCGTGGCTAGCTTCACACTTTCTATTTCTAAATCAGAAACAGGACATTACTGGCGGAAGAGGAAGCGTTTGCAAGAGATAACCCTTGAGCTAAGAAATTCATAGGCTGCTTCACCATCTACAGGAACAACAGGCCAGAAGTGATTTAAACCAGGGAAAGACTGAAAATAGTGCAGCTGGGTAGTTCTCTCCCTTGCTGTGTTTGCTTATAACTATATACATCTCTACTGACATTTGCAATGGGAAGTGAAATCCCCAGACTGATTTTGTCTAAACTGTTTCCATCCCTTGCACTGTTCATTGCTCACAGCAACACGGCACAGGAGTGCTGGGGTGGAAAAAACCATGCTGATGTTGCATGTAGTTAGGAGAGAGAAACAAGAGAGGAAGGGACAAACCAAATACAGTCAGCTCCACATGTGGCATCAAACAGTCACAGCCCCATCTCTGCTTTTCTGTTGGGACAGAACAATGGTCTCCTAGCACAGGCAGAAAAGATGGACTTAATTTCAGTTGTTTACTTAGTTTGGAGCAAGTCAAGGTCTCACCTTCATGACTCATGGTAGAGCTCAAGCAGTCAGATGCTGGATAAACTGGGCCCTTAGAAAAGCACTGCACCAAGTGGCAGACACAGAGGCAGCTGGCTTTTCCTTGAGACCATATTTACCAGTCTCCCTGCAGCAGCTCTGAGCAAGGCTGTGGGCACATAAGGCTCTACAAATGTTACAGCAGTCTCCCTTCTCAGCCATGGGAGGTGGGCATTGAAAGCCACAGGCTTCTGCCTCAATCCTCGAGGCTCCCTGGTGTAGAAATAGGTCCTGCAGCTGCCAAAGCCTTACAGAGCCAGCAGCCTCCAGGGTGAGCCCCAGCAGAACATGTTCTCCTCCAGGACAGCCCACAAAAGCCCAGCACTGCTACAAGCCTCCAGTTGAGCTCCAAGATGCCCCAACCTGTCCCAGAAGTCCCTTGAAGATGCCACCAGAAACAGCTAGAGCTCAGTGGGATCCAGGAGCTCCTTTTCCTTCTGTCAGGTGATCACCAGGCCTGGAAACCCGCTGCATTGTCTTGACACCCGCGAGGGGTACCAGTGCTGCGCGGTACATGATGGTGGACTCCACCTCCTCCATGTGCACCCAGCAGAGGCCACAGCGGAAGAGCAGGCTTCTGCTTATTGCCTTGGATGATAAGTGTATTGCAAGGACAAGCCTCAGCGCTGAGTTAGAAACTCCTTGTCTGGACATGACGGAGCACAGTGCCAGCAGCCATGGGGCCAAGCTGGCGACACAGGGAGGCCAACAGCTTCCAACGGCAGCATGGCCACAGAAGCAGGACGAATCAGCACAAGTATTTTTGGTGGGAACACGAAAGCAGCAAGCCATTCTACAGACCGCAGGCAGGATGCCACCTGCAATTCTGGGTCTAATCCTGCCACCCACATTCAAGAAAGCAGAACTCAAATTCACTGGCTAGCTGCTGGCTCCTTTAATATCTTTGTCTTGTCTGCTCCCCAACTCAGCTGAGTTGAAGAGCAACAGTTTTTCATGAACTGCAATTTTGCTGTACATGGAAGTTTGTGACAAATCTGGATCGTAAACGCTTCTCCTCACAGCAATCTCTGCCAGCTTTCTGTTCTGCATCACTTCTTTTTTTGGTCTGGCTTTATGAAGCTGACTACTTCAGTGCTTTCATAAACAGTATGTGCTCAAAATTTTCAGACACCTGATTCTGCACAAACATCCCAAATTCTTTTCCTATGAAGTCTCATTCGTCTGAGGAGCCATGCGATATATGTATTTTTAAATGTGCATACTTCTAATGACTGAAGCATTACATATTTTTTTTCCCTCTCTAGTCTCTCCTGAGATGATTTATTGGAATGGAAGAAATCTCAAAGTTTTGCGTTTGCACTACTGGGCTGAACTTTAGTTCCCAGGGTCTTGGCATCCAGTGTCACAAAAGCAGCCCTGGGACAAGAAGAAACAACAAACTCTTGGGAAGATTTAGGAAAACAGGATGTAATGATAACAACTTCAGCAGTCCAAGTTGGGTTCTTTTTTGGGGGGCAAAGACTGCAAAACCCACAAAGAATTGGCAGTTATCTGCATCAGATAAAAATCAATGTGTTTCAGTTGACTGCAGCTCTTTAAGGTCACAATGTTAGAATGCCAAGTTTCATTTAAAAATCTCCATCTCTGGAAATACCAGTTCATTTTGCTCCATCAGCTAATAATAATAATATAATTTCTTTTATTGATGTTTATCCAGGCTCTTTCCAGCTATTCCATTTTTCTCAGTAACAAGCTGCACACCTGGTACTAACACTTGCTGACTTTTCTTACAGAAATCCCCGGGTACTTGCTACCCTTAGCAAAGCATTTGCTAGGGAACGCTGGTATTTGCCAACTGGCCACAAGTTTAGTGGAAGAGTCAAGAGAGCCAGCAATTTAGGTACTTCTGTATCTGTAAAGCACTTCTAATACCTAGTATCTTCTAAGACAGATAATTTGTCCTGAAGTTTTCTATCTTGGTGTTCTCCTTCAAGCAAAGCCTCTGCATTTCATTTGTATTCCCTCAGCTTAGTAATTTCAGAGCCAAGAGAGGAGGAAAGAGGCCACTCCAGGAGGAGCAGGGCCAAAATAACATACGTGATCTTGAGAAAGACTGATGCTACAAAGGCATATATGCAGGAGGGCAGGATTAAGAGAGTGTAGGGATCCTGCTCCTGGGCTTTTCCAAAGTGGCTGACCTTGACTATGGGAGCAGTGCTGTCACCTCACTGCAGGAGTGTGCCCTCTGTTTCTTGCAGAAGACAAGAGTCCCATGTACCCCTTTTACTGTGGATTCTGTCATAAAATGCTGCTGAGGACATGCCTTCCTCCACAGCACCTGGTACCAGTCCAGGTATCAGGGGAGGGAAAGCTCAGCTGTGCTCCAGCAGTCCCCTCCTCTGTTCCCACAAGAGTATCAGACAAGGAGAGACCTTTAGGAGCACTAAAAGTGCAGCCAGCAGGCCAGATGTTAGGACTAGCACAGCCGTCTATGCTTTGTGCCCAACAGGGACACCGATGGTTGCAGATGTCAAAGGCACTTGGAAGTTTTGGTTGGTGATAGGGAGGACGTTTCCTTCACACTCACGGTGTTAAATTATTAGCTCTTTATGTAAGAGGAGCCAGAGACACCTTCACTGCGACTGGTTACATCACAGGTTGATGGACTTGAGCTCAGAGCTCAGGAGCCGAGAGCATATGGTGCGGCAGAAAGCCACATCCCTCAGCCCCAAACACAGTCTGTCAGCAACTCTGTTGGGCAGGAGGGAGTTAAGGGAAATGCCTGTCCCAAGAACAGCTCCAGGTGGCAAGAGAAATCCCTCTGCTACACTGGGTAGCACAGCACCTCTTACTGTGCTGAGATAGTCGAAGCAAAAATACAGACGCTTCCCACAGGAAACAGAAGCATTTCTGCCATGGGCTGGTTTTGTTTAGCTCGTATTTCACAGCCTCAAGAAAGGCCAGACTGTCTGGTAAGTGGGTTCACTGACCTGTGGCACATGGGAAGAGCAGTAACACAACCAGCAGCATCCAGAGACCTCCCTTACTGAAGGGCAGGAGGGCCCACTGCAGGCTTTCACCACAGATCCTTGGGATTAGCTGGTGGCCGCGTGGGGCTCAGCTCCAAGCTGTCCTACCGTCCCCACAGCTCCTCAGGGAGCTCCACTATACAGCTAGTCATATCTGTACCAGAGCTTTAAAAGATGATAGAGAAACATGCTACACCTCATGGGAACAGTGTCCTATCTGGACAAATAAAGGTTTTACGTAGTCACTTCTATTACACGTGGAGGAAGATCAAAAGTAGGTTTGGGGCAATGACTCAGTCTCAGTTCTAAACACTGAGACACAATACCTGGCACTTTTATCCCACGTGCTGGTGAGCAGATGTGAAGGTTTCTGAGAAGCATTCAGCCTCCCCCCAGCACTGCCCAGCACTGCCACCCACACCCCAGGTACAGAGAGTTCCAACAGAGCCACGCTCTGTGATGCCCATGGTACCGCCGTGTTTCAGAGGAGTACTTACTCTGTAGCCATCTTTCTTTCCTCAGCTTCATTTTTTCTTTTTTGGAAAGAACCGTTTTTTCTTCTAGACCTAGAGGAAAAGAGAGACATTGAGATGGAACCTGGCTCCTGCACACAGAGTCAGTGCTGGACACCTCCCAAAGACAGCAGAGTCCATAATATTTTGTTCAACCCTTGGTGATTTTGAACTTGCTGGCAGGTCAGGCAGGCTGCAAGCAGACTGGGGGCTACAGCGCACCTCAACCTTTAGCCGAACAAATCAAACCCAGGTCGCTGTTGGTTAAGAAATGAGAAATGGGCAAGTAGATCAGATCATCAGCACCATAGGCCCTGTTTTCTCAGACCAGGCAGCTCTTTGAGAAAAGCGTTTTGAGAGACCCTTGCCCCGTGTCCTGCACTCCTGCATGAATCTGGCCTGCGAGCTGGCATTTTCTTCTGAAGACTACCCACAAGAGATGGGAGGACCTACAGGTTCCAGAACTGGGAGCAAAAAGCAAGTTTTAATCTGAAAATATGCAGGCTGATAAAGCTAAGAAGAAGGAAAACACAGGCTGCAGACATGTGCGAGGGTAGGAGGGGGAATGGCAACCTGACATGGCTATCGGCATCCGCCTGCCCAAGCAAAGGCCTAAAAGCCGACATTGAGATGGAACCTGGCTCCTGCACACAGAGTCAGTGCTGGACACCTCCCAAAGACAGCAGAGTCCATAATATTTTGTTCAACCCTTGGTGATTTTGAACTTGCTGGCAGGTCAGGCAGGCTGCAAGCAGACTGGGGGCTACAGCGCACCTCAACCTTTAGCCGAACAAATCAAACCCAGGTCGCTGTTGGTTAAGAAATGAGAAATGGGCAAGTAGATCAGATCATCAGCACCATAGGCCCTGTTTTCTCAGACCAGGCAGCTCTTTGAGAAAAGCGTTTTGAGAGACCCTTGCCCCGTGTCCTGCACTCCTGCATGAATCTGGCCTGCGAGCTGGCATTTTCTTCTGAAGACTACCCACAAGAGATGGGAGGACCTACAGGTTCCAGAACTGGGAGCAAAAAGCAAGTTTTAATCTGAAAATATGCAGGCTGATAAAGCTAAGAAGAAGGAAAACACAGGCTGCAGACATGTGCGAGGGTAGGAGGGGGAATGGCAACCTGACATGGCTATCGGCATCCGCCTGCCCAAGCAACGGCCTAAATGCCTGCCCAGACAGCCTGCCCAGACAGCATGTGGCAGGCAGGGGAAGGACTGAAAAAGGTCTGAAATACCCAGATGCGTGGCAGCCCTAAGGAGCAGCCGATTACTAACAGCTTGTAAAAAAGACTAGTACCTACTATATACCAAATTCAGTATTTGGAAAACAGCTGTTGATCACTGATATCTAATACCAAGTAAAATAACATCACAAATATTTCTACTGGAGATCCGTTGCAGATGCTATAAAATTTTATCTTATCTCCGGTGTTTAAAACAAAATTGACTTTAGTCAACTTTTCTGCTGAAATGTGCTGGGAATTGTGCTACAGGAATGCTGATGGAGGAGCAAGCTCCCCAAAGACCACTCCTCTCACCTTAGGTTATTCTTAAGCCTGGAAAAGAAAAAATACCCTTTTTCTCCCCAAAAGAAACAGGAGAAAGGAATTCAGTGCAACTCTGAAAACAACTCACTGTGGACAACTTCTCTGAAGCTGCAAATCTTTCAGGATGATTTAAACAAAAGCAGGATCATAATTTAGTAATTTCAATGCCTTAAGATCAGAACAAGCCTGCTGGGGCTGGGGGAACTTTTCCATAAAGCCAACAACTACCACCACATTTTGAGTTTCTAGAGGACACGGAGAATGAAGCTGTAGCTTTCACTGCCTCGTGTCCCAGAAAAATATGTTACTGCAGTCAATGCACCCAAGAAGCAAGAAATAAAACCACACCTAGAAGCTATCACTTATTTACAAAGCTCAGGGATGTCTTGAAGGGTTTGCACGTGACTGGTGCTGCTATCCATTTTTCTGTCTCCTGCATAAAGCACCAATGCACGGGCACCCTGCTAGGCCCAGGCCAGCAGGACAGCCGCTGGGACGCAGGGCCAGGCAATAACAGAGACAAACATCTAATCATGTTAAGGGCAAATTTCCTCAATCCATTCACTGTGGTATCAAAGCAGATGCTAAAACAACTAATTGCATGTTCCAATAACCAACTCCCAGTTACCCCCACCCCCGATCACCCCACGTTCCTGCGGTTTCAGGGAAAAAAAGGATGAATCATGAGAGGCTGAAACGCAAATCACGCCCTGATGATCTCTGAAGGGCTGCCTGCACGAGGCACCTCTGCCCTGCCTTTCTGGCTGCCTGAGCCTGTCCAGATTTCAGCGGCGGCGGTGCCGGGGAGATTTGCCCCCTTATCTGAAAACACGCTCATTACTTCATTGGGAAAACAGCGCCTGGCGGGATTTGTAATGAAAATAAAAAAAAAAAATTCAGCCAGCTGGCCAATTCTAGTAATAACATCAATTCAGATTTTTTTTTTCCCCAAACAGCAGCGGAATATTTAAGGAAACACAAAAGCTGTTTTCTTGGCAGAAGTCCAACCTCACTGCAGGCCGGGGGCGGCGGTCAGCACCCACCAGCTGCAGATCACCAGAGGGGTGCGGGGAGGGGAGCTGGACCCCTCCTCTGCCCACCGTGAGCAGCTAGTGAAGTGGACAGTTTCTGCCCTTTTTCACCACCTGCTCCCTGGACACCTCCATTTTATGTATCCCTCCCCGCCCCTCAGGAGGTTGTTTTGCTGCTGGAAGGTGCCAAGTTGTGTTTGGCAACTTCCCGTCGCGATGCTGAGTGCCAAAGCCGTTGGAAACCCACTGGTGAACAGTGGAGGCAGAATTTAGCTAGTTAATTAACAGCACAGACTGTCCCCAAGGTAGTCTTTTATTTTTATTTAGCTTGCAAGCACCTCTGAGATCAAAGCCAGACCGCAGTTCCAGTTTAATTATTTTTCTGTGAAATCAGAAGGGTTTTGGTCCCCCCTCCAGCCCATTCCACATGTAATTTAACAACACTTGCCTTTGAAACCTTGTGCACGGAAGAAAGGTGAGGAAAACCCACTTACGTTAGCTGAGGGTAATTTACATACTGTAAACTTGACAATTATTCCTTTTAGCGAGGATGTGTTTTTTCTTCCCTCTGATCTGCACAATACAAAACATCTCAAATATAAACAGATTTAAAAAAAAAACACAATAGCTTTTTGCCTCCTACATCAAGTGTTTGATACTACTCCTGGCAATCCTCAGGATCCTGCTTTCACGGCAGATAAGCAGATTTTTTTCAGTACGGCTTCCTTCAATTCAGAAGGGTTGAGTTTTTTTGGTAAAGGACTCCTAAGACTAAAAAAAAATATATATATATATGACTGCTTTTCATAAAGGACTCCTTAGACTAAAGAAAAATATATATCCTACCTTAAAAGTCCCCATTTTATCCTTTCTAGGCATTCAGAAAGAAGCTGGACTGGGTTAAAGCCGTAACACTGTGGGCTTCCCTGAGCCCCAAGATCCCACTATTTAAGTTTGACTCCACAACCAAGAGGGTGAAAACGCAGGCTTCACAGTTCCAGGAAACCACATTACTTCGAGGACTTGGCCATGAGCAGAAATATCAAATATGAGCAGAAATATCAAATAAACTGTGCCTGTGCAATGCTACACGAACAGAGGAGGGTCCTTCATGACCAGGCATCTGTTCCCCCCCCCATGCAAAGCTGCAGTGGAGTACTAAGTCCCCCCCTTTGGTACGAGCTATTAAGAAATAGCACAGAGTATTAAATATTATTCCCATAACTCCAATGATACATAACAGTAAAGCTGTTGCTGCTCAAAACATAATATTTTGTCAAAACAGGGTACAGTATAAATTGAAGTTAAACAGCAACAGATGTGTTAATTTTAGCCTCAGTTGTGTAACAGCAGCAAAAATGAGCATATGCCTACAGCTGTGGGTGAGTTCACTAAAGAAATTCAAAGAGTACATCCAAAAGCAGAAGACTGGGTGTGGTTTTTTTATTGTTTTTTAAATTACATAGTGTCACTTGTAAATTGTCTGATACCCTTTTACACTGAAAGGGCCTGGGAAATGTTAAACCACAGTCTCCTGGGGCAAACACAACAGTGGTGTGACCTGACAAGATGCCAGTGCAGAACTACTGAAGGTATTCTTTTTCTTCTAGGAAGAAAGTTGAGGGACAACACAGGCCAGGCAGAAAGTCAGCCAAGATATCCTCCAGCAGAGACGGTGCTCCACGGGAGCCAGCCCGGCAGCTCGCTGCCCTCACCCCACCCAACAGTTCAGCTCCCAACCAGGTGACCTCCAGCTCCACTTCTCCTCCAGAAAGCACTGACACAGAAGTGTCTGGGGAGCCTGGGTCACTAGTGGGACCGAGGCTTGGAGGTGGCAAGGACAGAAGCAGGGGGTTGATATCCAGGCTCTTTGCCCCCTTGCTCTTAGAGGAGCCCCCAGAGACAGCTTGGTAGCCTGTACGTGGTGCACAGAGACCATGGTGGTGGAGTGTTTGGGTTTTACCCAGTCCAAGCCCTGCCACCCTGAGCAGGCTCAGGAACCAGTGTTGAAAGAGAAGATGAGAGCCGCTGCTGGGACAGGGCAGGCTTCACCATGGATACAGCATTTGCTTTTTATGTTCCAAAACAAGCTACATTATTTTTGTTCACACTTAATTATTATACCAGCACGCAGGCTTTTGCCCCCGATGAGGAAGGCATTCTATTTAAAGTGGAATCTGCATTCTCAACCCTTCCAGATCTCCTGGTTATTTAAAGAGGAGCCTACTTCCAAGCCCAGCTTCCAATCCGAGACCCGGAGGAGCTGTCCGACTTGTGTCCTCGTGCCAAGGTCATGCCTCCATCAGGCCTAGTAAACATCCCCAGGCTCTGACCAGCTACAGCAAGGGCACGAAACCTCGCTCTGCAGAAGAGCCAAGACTCATCTCTAGTTAGCCGCATAAGCGCACAAGTGACGTGCCATCTGAAGTGGTAGCAGTTCCCCTCAGGAGGTGACCAAGAAGTCACAATATG